GGGAAAGATGTACATAAATTCTTTGTGTTAAAAACCTTCAAGTAATCACAACAAAATAAGAAAAGATGCTTGATCTAGGTTTACACTGTCTCAGTAACCTAGCCTGTTTTTCCAGTGTTCTTCACAAAAAATTTCAGCCAAGGGAAGCTGTTTTTATTAACAGTAAGCTTAGCATTCAAGGTTCAGTTCAATGGAACAGTGAAGAAAGAGTAAACAAATGGTGAAAGAAGCAAAGTGTTTGGAAAGGAAGAATGGAGTTCAAAGCAGAAGAGAGATCCTTTGAGGTAGCACCACAAAACCTTTGTAAGTCTAGGCCAGGTACGCTCCTGTAGTCATTATGGCATCTGACAATCACTGCAGGTGCATCTGTTTAAACAATATTGTTAGGAAAACCACCACAGGCTTTTGGTTATATCATACCTTTAAGAGTCTGCTGACTCAAGTGGATGTTGGAGGATCAAACTCTCAAAATAATTCTGCAGCTTTCTCCCATTTTTTATTACTTCTGGCACCAAAAAGGTGGCAATGGGATGATCTTATCTTCCAAGACCTCAAGGTTTTTCAAGAACTACCTCTTAATATTCTGTCAAAGTAATTTTCAAGGACACAAGGATCTATTGCCATGCTGTTTAAATAAACTTACCTGGGTAAGCCTGCATTCAGGTTCCTGCATAGAAGTCGTATCTAGAGTCAGAAGACACCCAAAACCCAGTTCCACTTTACCTTTAAGTTATTTTACAACAGAAAACACGAATGGAATTATGTAATCTCTCAGTACCCATGTAACAAGAAATACTGGGAAATAATTACCTCAACAAATCCAAGGGGAAGGTAGTTCATAAAGCATATTCCCTATAGTTCATCCATGTCTGGAAGAGGAAGAAACGATTTCTGGCTTATTTTAAGAGACAATCTTTTGTTGCTGAAGTAAACAATGAACAAATGATGAGAGATAGAATGCGTGTTTATTATAGAAGTTCTTGTCTTAACGCAGAGTAAGCCTTACTGAAACTGGCTTCTTGTTCCATACAAACTCCTCCTGAGAATTCACGTACCTGAAATAAAATGCTGAAGGCAGGTATTTGTTCAGAACAGGTTTTTATTGACATCACATATTGTGTCAGAACACAGCTATCAAATCCACTAAAAACTTCAAAGTGTTATTGAAAGAAAAAAGAACTTTGGTGAAGTACTTAGAAAATTTACATTAAAATTACATAGCAGGCATACTAGAAGTCCTGCTGCATTTGGATCATACAGCCCAGTTTAGATTTTTTTGTTCATTTAAAGCATGAACAGGCAGGAATTCAGCAGATGAAAAGATAATACAGATTACATTCTGTTATTATAAACACTACTAAACACATAATTTAAATCTAGCCATAGAAAGGAACCGTGATCCACTACAATACCTGATAGAGCCAAAGGAGTAAGAAGTGCCCTGTGAGAAAAGGACAAACGAGTTCCTGATGATGTATAATCAAAAGGGAAGTATGATTCAGGACTAATTGTGTATTACATATATACAACACATCCTCTACTCTTGGAAAAAATAAAACAAACCCAATTCTTATAAAACAATGCTATTGCTGTAGCAGTCCATGAATGCTCCTTGATGAGTTTTGGCCTGGAAGTTGTCCTAGCAATTACTAGGATTTTGGTCTTCTGCATCAGGGTAGCTCAGTTTTCTGGATACCCTATAGAAAGAAATTGTGTAGATGATAAAGTATATTACACAAAAATACTATGTTCGCTGAAACTCTGATAACAGAATGAAACTGAAACAAATGGCCAGATATCTGAGGACTCCTTATCTGAAATCCTATGTGTTTTCAAGCTGGAGAGGAAGCTTTTCATCCTATACCATTTTTAGTGTTTCAGTAATGCTACCACCTTAACCTGAATTATATAAACCTATTCAACTCTGAAACATGATCTTTGAATGCATTCACAAATAGCTACGAATGAAAGATATAAGTGAGAACACAATTATTTCCTTGCATATTACATAAGAAAAGGCATTTTTTAACATTTTAAACTATTTTGGTTTACATTTTGACAATTAATTATAGCAGTAGAGCTGTAGGAGCACTCACAGAGTTGAAGAGTTTGTTTGATATGAACACTTCCTTTTCCCAAGTCTCTCTTTTCTAGATGAAGACAATCAAGTTCTAGAAAGGAGGACAGTATTCCTTTTCTTTTCACAACCATTCATTACAGCATTTTGCCACATGGCTTCGGCATAAAACTTCTGAAGGCTCTGAAGCCATTAAAGAAAAGCTTCACTCCTGGGAACCATAGAAGGCTAAAAATATCACACCACAGGCCCAAGGAAGCTTGCCAGCTGACAGGCCATTTTGCCTACAAATCAGCTAACATCCATCTGTATAATTAGGGAACAAAGAAATAGATTTTTTTTCCAGATGTCTTGGCAAGAGAGCACTTTGTGAAACCCTGATTTCCTACACTGTCTCAGACTTCTCTACTTCCATGCATAAAGGCAAAGAAAACCTTTTCCTTCAGAACAATTTCTAATCTTATAGAGACAGGGCTATTTCATATGAAATCAGGAAAAAGTAGTGAGAAGAAAAAAAAAACCACAAGAGGAAATCCGAGAACTGAGCAGAAATTCACTCAGCTAAGTGGGCATACGCAACATCACAGAAAACATCCTTGTACACTCAGCTTGCCTCCAACCTTCCATCAAAGATAACCCAAATACAGTTTTTATCAATATTGTTATATATTTATAACCCGAGTCTCTAAGTTTTAATTCCATCTTTGCTTAAACTGACACTTTTTTCTTTAAATCACGCAGCCTCTTTTCTGGTCAAGTCCTCCATACAAGTAGTTTAAAACTGGATTCAGGCTTCCTTTGAAGTTTTCATTCGAACATGGTCAGAAAATTTTTATATCAGCTGTTTGATCATCTCAAGCATAGTTAAAATATTTCTTGGCTGATTTTGGAAAGGGTATCTTGTGATGCCAAGTTAAACATTTTGGCAAAAAAAAGCATGTAAAAAATGTTTTGGAAAACAAAATGAGAAACTGTTTAGAGAACTTTTAATGCTTTTTAATCCTGCTGCATATTAAATTAATTTGTAATTAAAAATCCAAGTGATCTGAAACTTGAGAATCCTTTAAGTCACATATTTCTACAAAAAGCAGATGTAGTAAGCCAGTATACCGGGAGCTGGGGAAGGAGTGTTTTCCTTCCAGAAATCTAAGTATACTATCAACAGTGGTAACAGCAGGAGACAAACCAGATATCTTCCAAACAGAGCCCCTGCTTGTTTACACAGAGCCAAAAATGCAGGCAACTATGCCCAACTGCACAAAAGTAAATTTTTGAAAGCCCTTTTAAATGGCAATATACTGCACTCCCCACAGCCTAAGGATCTGAGAGGACTTGTTAGCTCAACCACACAGCCAGAATCAAAACAATTCTATAGTTACATCCAAAATAAATGTCCCTAGAAAGAATGCAGGAGAAGGACTAGAATAGCTATTCAGTTATGCCATCTTACTAACTTGTGTTCACTGGCCTTCCAAGTTGGATTCTAGCTAGTTTTGTCCACAGACACTTGCCTCCCAGTGTTCGAGTCTGCAGGTTTGATTAGTTTGGGCTCTCCCAACCATCCATGCTGACTTTCATACTAGAAGTACGCACATAAACAACGACCTCCATACCTTTAATATGGATGCAAAACTGAAAGAAATTATTTTGCAATTTATTTTCCTCAAAAGGTACTTACCCTTGATGATATTTCTGTGCATTTCCGGGACAGCTGTAATTCTTCACCTCCCTAGACCAACCAGAGCAGGCATCTGCAATCCCAGATTCTTGTGATAAAATACAGAAGTACAAAAATAGTAAGAACAATGCTGAGCAGCATGGACCCACAGTATGTTGTTAAAATATTAGCCTATTAAGACATTGATAATACTCCACTAGCATACTTCAATGATCAAATTTCCTTATGAAAATATTCTAATGCAAAAGGTTCTGGCAAAAGGTCATTTCAAGTACATTTTATACACTTAATATAGTTAAGTATAAGGTTTCTTCAAAATGCTTATAATTTATCATCATTAGAAAAAGGTAGGAAGTAGAAGAAACTGTTGATACCAGAAAACAATGTAATACATAAAGTATGAGTTAAAATTTGAGGAAGGCAAATCCTGCTCTGGCAGGGGGGTTGGGCTAAATGATCTCTAGAGGTCCCTTCCAACCCCTACCACTCTGTGAATCTGTGTGAAACTGTGGATAAGTCCACCTCAAATAATCAAATTCTTTACAGTTAATCAGTAATGAAAACACAAGACAAAACCCATGTAAACAAGTGCATTTCTTCTGACATTTTCTTCTTGTATACCAGCTGACAATATTCCATGTCACCTTCGCTGGTATTTTCCTCTATGTGTTATTTAGTTATTTTGACAACAAACTTCATAAAAATAAAATATGGAAAAAAGTTCAGGTTAAGTTATAAACAGTATTAACCAACATAAAATTTTTGAAAGAAAATTAAAAGATCAGCACTTAAAAAGTTAAACTACTTTTTTTTTTTTAAAATAAAATTCTACTGTCCTGAATTGGCAAGTCTTTTAATCCAGACAAATAATGTAATGCATCTAGGCAAGTCACAGTAGCCATGCAACAACTCAATTGTGTTTGTAAAGCTCAAGACCCCAAACAAAAGCATTTGGTTGTTCAGGTGTAAGATTAACCAACTATTCATTTCATGCTGAACATATAGATACAAAAAGTAAAATCGACAGCAGGCTTTCAATAAAATAAAGAAAGGAAAAGAGAAAACCATCAGATAATAAGCAATATTTTAGTATGAAAAGTCCTAGTTATCCTAAAGGAATAGCTGTTAACATGTGCACAAGCCCATGGGACCTGATGAAATAAAACTGTGGGTCCTGAAGGAACTGGCAGATGGAAGGAGGGGATGTCATCCAGAGGGACCTGGACAGGCTGGAGAGGTGGGCCGCTGCCAACCTCATGGAGTTCAACAAGGCCAAGTGCAAGGTCCTGCACCTGGGTTGGGGCATTCCCAAGCACAAGGACAGGCTGGGTGGAGAGTGGATCGAGAGCAGCCCTGAGGAGAAGGACTTGGG